TCATGTTACTACTTGCTTTCCAATCTATATGCCATTCATTTATTTTCCTTGCTGTATTTTACTGTAATGCAAGTGCAGTGTTGAACAGAAAGGGTTGGAGTGGGCATCCTTAGCTTATTCTTTGTTTTAGGGGGACTACATTCTATATTTCATAAGTCAGTCTGATGTGAGCTCTAGGTTTTTTGTAGATGCCCTTTATTGATTTGAGGAAATTTTCTTCAGACTAGTTAACTGAGGTATTTTATCATGAATAGGGGTAAGCATTTTCAAATGATTCTTCTACATCTATTGAAATAATTTTAAAATTGCATGTATAAATGAAGTAACTCCATAAACCAATAACTAGAGTAAGCTAGAAATAGTAAGCTAGAAAGAAAAATTAGAAAATTAACCACTGTTGAAGAAAATTCCATTGTAATTTTCTCTCAATCATTGATAGATCAAGCAAACAAAAATTTAGGAGAGATACAAAAGAATCAAACCATACAATTAACAAGTTTAATCTCATGGTCAAAAAAAGAACTCTGCATCTAATAGTTAATGAATTTATATTCCTGTTATCTCCATGAAACATTTGTAAGGATTATTAATATATTATTTAATAATTCATTTTCTGACAAAGTTCAAAGACTTGAAGACTTGACAAATATAGGCTGTTTCCTTCAACACCAGTGTTACTATGTCAATTTTTTAAAAAAATTGATAAATCATACCCATATATTTCAAAATTTTTAAAAATAGACATTTTTACTCTAATGAACATTTCCTTCCAATATTTATTCTCTCTGCAATTATCATGTATTATTCAGACAATGGTGTCTTAGATTTAATGATGTATAGTAAATATCTTATAGACCCAAGAAGAAAATACCTAGACCTGAACTTTAAATAATACACTGCCTATAAATATTTGAGTAATGCAGGAAAGTACTCAGAGGGGGAATGCTTATGTTAGTAAAGATTAGAAGACTGAAAATTTTGACATATTCATCTAATTTAAGAGTTTAGGAAAAATAAATAAATTTAAAGTAGAAAGAAAGAAATCATAACTGTAAGAGTAGAAATTAATAAAGTAAGAAACAAATTTCTAGTTGATAAGATTATGGAGCCTAAAAGTTAATCATTGAAATGAATGGCAAAATAAACCTTGTGGTGAAATTTATTGACAGGATAAAAAGAAGGTACAGGATTCAAATGGACACATAAAAGACACATCAGAAAATAAATACATAATACGATAAAATTATGAACATTGTAGCAAACACTGAAAACGAACAAAGTGAACAAATTCCTGTGAAAAATATAACTTACTAAACCTTGAGTCAATAGGTCATTCAATGTCTACTGAAAATAGAAATTAGTAATTTAAAATATTTCCATGAAGGAAACACCAGATCGTGGTAGTTTTATAGATGAGTTCCATCAAAATTTCAAACAACAGATTTTTTTTTACAGTCCTACACAAATTTAACCAGAGAATAAAAATGGACTAGTTCTCAAGTTTTTATTATGCCAGTATAGCCTTGATCCTACATCAAAAGGTTAGTGAAAGAAAGGAAATTTTTAACACGTCAGAATCACTTGTAAAAAAAAAAATGTAAAAATCCTTAATGAAATATCACTGAATTTAAGAGACCTTCCTCAATCTGATAAAATGTACCATCAGCAGATATCATTTTTAATGGTAAAATACTAGAAAATTTCTATTTAAAATCAGAATTTAAAAAGGAATGTAAAATTTAACTGCTTCTTTCCAGCATTGTGATTATCAGCATAGAAAGACAAGAAAAAGAAAGAAGAAAGACTTTAGGATTAGAAACATTGTCTATGGAGAAAAATCCAAATTGAACCATATAAAATTTATTAGAAGTACAAAGAGAGAGCCTTTAACAAGGTGGTTGGTTAACATTATTTTACAATAAAGTATTTCCATATATGAGCAATTAGATTAGTAATCAGAATTTTAACAGTATTTCTTATAGCAGTGGAAATGATAAGATACAAAGGATAAATCCAACAAATGTGGGAAATTTTAATGAGCGAAGTTAAATTTCACAGAAATTTAAATGGAGAATGCCTAGCTCTTGGCTGGTAAAACAATGCTGTACTACATGCCAACGCTCCCTAAATTGATGTATTGATTCATTACAGTTCATATCAAAATTCCAGTAGGGGGGCGCCTGGGTGGCTCAGTTGGTTAAGCGACTGCCTTCGGCTCAGGTCATGATCCTGGAGTCCCGAGATCAAGTCCCGCATCGGGCTCCCTGCTCAGCAGGGAGCCTGCTTCTCCCTCTGACCCTCCCCCCTCACACGCTCTCTCTCTATCACACTCTCTCTCTCAAATAAATAAATAAAATCTTTAAAAAAAAAAAAATTCCAGTAGGATGTTTTGTGCAATGTAATAACCTGAACCTAAAGGAAGAGCAAAGAGGAAAGATTTGAGATATGAGGGAATTTGCTTTTTGATATGTAACAATATAATAACAAAGACAGTGAGTTATTGGTTTATGGATAAATGGCCAGTACAAGGAAAAAGAAATAGATCCTAGCAGATAGGATACATTTATTTATGACCGAGGTGACATCACAGATCATTGGGGGAAGTGGCAATATTAAATAATGCCAAAATATGTGTTATACATATGGAAAAAGCGAAGTTGCATCCATATCTCAAACCGTACATAAACTCACTTCAAGATAGAAAAGGATGTAAATGCTAAAAAAAATTTTTTTTTTAAATTTCAGAAAAAAAATATGAGAATATCTGTCCATTCATAAGCTTAGGAACAATTTCTTTCTTTTTTTTTTAAGATTTTATTTATTTATTTGACAGAGACAGAGACAGCGAGAGCAGGAACACAAGCAGGGTGAGTGGGGGAGGGAGAAGCAGGCTTCCCGCTGAGCAGGGAGCCCGATGTGGGACTCGATCCCAGGACTCGGGGATCATGACCTGAGCCGAAGGCAGCTGCTTAACGACTGAGCCACCCAGGCGCCCCCTTAGGAACAATTTCTTAAACAAGACACTGAAAACACTACTTTTAAAAGAGAAGATTGATGCATTCAATGACATTAAATTAAGTACTTGAATTCATCAGGATGTTAAATGACAAGTTCCAAGTGGAGATAACATAATTGCAATATATTAAATCTCTGTAGAATTACTAGCAAAATAGATCGACTTCTATCGGGAACATAATAAGATTTGGAAGGAAGCAGCATTTACAGATCACATATACCCATCCACCCCCAACTCTATGCGCAAACCCACACAAGACCACTCACAAAGGCCGATAAAATGAACTTCATTTTTTGCTGTTGTCATTCTTATTTTACACCAGAGGCAGATCTGATTCTTGACCAACACCAAAAGCATATAATCTTTAGGCCCTAGTATATCTGGCACATTAAACTATCATTACCCTGTCCTTGAGCATTTGCATTTACAAAGTGAAATCATGTTACAAGATGAGTAGCAATTCTTATTATGTCTCTCTTCAACAGCTTCATCTGTGGTATCCTTCTTTTCCCCAAATCCATTTAGAATGTATACACTAATTCTGTAAATCATTTTGTGCTCAGTCTTTTGGGATATTGTGTGGTAATTGTAGTTTCCATATCAGTTGGGGCTGTAAGAGTCTATGATTTGATTGAGTTTAAATTTTTTAAAGGCTTTGGAAGGAAAATAGCAGTGAACCCATTCAGTGGGACCACATGATCAAAACAGATCAGTGTCTTTTATGTAACCATTAAAAGGAGGAAAGCAAGAGTTCCTGGCAACAGACTCTTCCCCTTCCCAAGAGGGCAGGGGTAAAAACAAACAAAAAGAGAAAAAAATGTATAGAGTATTTCTAAGAGGAAGTTGGAAATATTGGAGGGCATTTCTAGAACATTTAATTATTGCTACTTTAGACACCTTGTAAAACGTGAACTCTCAGTATTTTATATACGTTACAGGAAAGCATTTATTTTCTGATAACTGAATTTGGTCTATTTAATGAATAATGTATGGTGTAAGTAGACAGACAAAAGAAGTCATTTCTTGAAATAGCAACACTGTTTTCATTTATCATTAAGCATTTTCTGATTGTAAGGAAGGAAAAAATACTGTAATAAGGGATTCTATTGTATAAGATGTGCCTATTTTTGAGACACATGTAGGAGAAAAAATATATTAAAAAACAAATTATAACAGGTTTATTTATATATGTGATATATTTCATAATTAAATGTGAAGACAATCTGCTGTAACCATCAATTCAGTGCTATTTTTGCCATAGCATGATAAACATTTTAAAATTTTGTTATAGAGGTCTTTAATTATGTTAATTATTACTGCTCTGTTAAATTTAGGCTAATTTCTTAGAAAATATAACAATTGTGTGTAATCAATACACAATTTAGATGTATTAATAAGTTTGTGGATGATTTCTCATTTTCTTTTCAAAGCAATGGAGGAACAGCTAAACTAATACTAAAAGGTAGATGGTTTAAGATGTCTTAAATTATACTTCTCCATGAGTGTGAAAAATGAAGAATTGGGTACATTTAATTTATTAGTCATGCATATTAGAAAAAGGCACATGAATGCTCTTGAAATAACATTGTCTTGCTTTGAAATTTATATAGACTTAAGTACCTTTGTCTAAAAGCATCTGAAACTGACTTAACATAGCTATTTTTAACTTAGCTTTTTGTTCAATAGATTTTATCAATCAGCATCAAATCACATACATATATTATTTAATATTATTTCAAGCTTTAAGGCATTTAGGAAATTTATTTTATCCATTTTAAGAATAATTTATTTTAAGAATAATATCTTCACATTATGAAATATGTGTAAAAATAAGCATGAGCTTATAATGACTTTCCTTCTCTCTATATTTTTTATTCTCAAGTATTTCATTCAGATTTCTTTCATTTGTTTTTCAGGTTGATGAGGAGTTTTCTTTTTCCTTATTAATCAGCAATTTTAATTATTGCTATTGTTTGCTTCATAGGGTCAAAAAGAATAAGTGATAGTGAAGTCTCTGACTATGACTGTGATGATGGAATTGGTATAGTATCAGGTAAGAATTTCAGAATTATTTTATAGTAATAAGGAAGGGTTATTCATCATTATCTACCAATAAACAGATTAAATAATAAATAAAATGAGAAAGAAATAACTTGCCTCTTTATCCACCCCACCCCCCAAAAAAAAACAACCTTATGGCAGTTTAACCTCTTGAATAATTCCAGTTGCTGGAACTCTTGTATCAATTATTAAACTGAATATTCTTACTGAAATGTGTCAGATAAGTGAATACTTCTAAGTTTTCTATTTTTAAACTACTAAATAATAAGGATTTCACCATAAATTTGAAGTTATTGTATAGTTGAAACTTCTTTATACTGCATAACAGTGTGAAAAAAAATCTTTTTGACGTCACCAACATACCCAAATATGTCAAATATTTGCACTTTTTGAAATTTTTTTCATTGTTGTCATGATTATATATCAGGCACAGCTTTATTTTCAAATTATGGTATTGTAGTTTAAATTTTGCCTGATTTATGGTTGGAAATTTATCTGATGATTTAAAAAATATGAAGATGATTTCAAATCCTCGAAATCTGTTACTATTAGAAAGCTGAAGCATCACCATATTCTTTTTTTTTCATATTCTTTTTATCAACCTGAAAATCAGGATTATGGTATTGTGGTTTTTGAAATGTTATCTTTTCATAGGCTCATAACTTTAATAAATTACATTTACATAACTGTCATGATAACTAAGACTTAAACGTTAATTCTATTAAAAAATACTTTTCTATGTTTTCTTTTTTTTAAATGTCCTTTTTGTTTTAAGCTCCATCATTAACAGTAGTTTCAATAGAGACTAAATGCTTCAATCAGTAGTTTGTCAAGTAATTTGACTGTCAGCTGAACCAAATAATCCTATATTCTCTGTGAAATTGTTCCTAAGGCATTTCGAATGTGAATTGCATATATTCATATACACAGTACCTTCTTACCCCCCATGTTAACTAGCATTTTAAACAACTAACCTAAGTCTAGACACCAGCAAATCTGTTAGTACTTTCTTCCCCATATGCCGAGATTCGTTTCCAATTGCACATTACATATCTGTCAAATTCAAAGTATCTGTTACAACCGTTCAAAACCCTTTTAACCTGAACTATCAGCCTTCTCTCAATAATGAGCAGTTTCAGCTGCTTTATTTCATTTTTCCAAGGTTACAAGGCAGATGTCTTGAAAATTAACTATGCCAGAGGGAGTATTTCCCATGTGCTTACTTACTTCATTTATTCTGATAATTCAAGTCAGAGGTACTTTTTTATATTTGCATTGCTAATGTTATTCTTCAAAGGAAATAGAAACTTTGATTGATATTGAAATTTAGGGTTCTCAGGGAAGCGACTGCTGGCATGGATTTTGTGCCCCAGGGGTATACTGAGTAGGGAAAGAATGGTGTTGTACACCAACTATTCTTTTTTTTTTTTTTTATTGTGTTAATCACCATACATTGCATCATTAGTTTTTGATGTAGTGTTCCATGATTCATTGTTTGCTTATAACACCCAGTGCTCCATTCAATACGTGCCCTCTTTAATACCCATCACCGGGCTAACCTATCCCCCCTCCCTCCTCCCCTCTAGACCAACTATTCTTTGAACCAGTTGACTCACCCCACAATGCTAATAAATGGAATATATATATAAAATATGAGATTATAGCCACTTAGAATGTTAGTGTTATTTTCTACTCTGACCTGAAACAATATACAAATACATGTAAATAATTTATTTTCCATTGGGAAGGTAGAATGATGTTTTAATAATTAACTCTTAAATGTCACATATAATATTCTGATTTCCTAAGTTAATTACCTAAATTCAATACTCATTTTTTATCACTTCGGAGTAGCTCTTTATATTATTAATAATGAATATTTTCTTAAAACTCTTTCTTCTTAGTTTTCATGAGACTGCATTATTTGAATTTTCTTCTTGTAGTAACTCTTCCTCCTTTTCTCAATAGTCTCCTTTAAACTCCATAGTCATATCTCTTTTCTCTCTATATATTCCCTTACCTTGGATTTCAATGATGCTCCTTTTATAAATGCCTCTCAAAACTTTATTGACAGTCCTAATGCCTTTCCCAAGATTCTTTTCCACATGTGTAACTGTTTGCCTATGAGACTGAAAATACTGTTACCTCCTTGTCTCCAAACTGGTAAACCTTCTAAACTTCTCTCTTTGTAGTATACTTTTTTTTCCCCCAAAGATCTGATATTTGACACTTGACACACACACACAGAGAGAGAGAGCACAAGCAGGGGGAGGGGCAGAAGGAGAGGGAGAAGCAGGCTTCCCACTCAGCAGGGAGCCCGTTGTGGGGCTCAATCCCAGTATCCTGGGATCATGACCTGAGCCGAAGGCAGATGCTTAACCAACTGAGCCACCCGGACACCCCTTTGTAGTATACTTTTAACTTCCTGGTGGGCTAATCAAATGTTAAGAGTCATTTATTTCTTCCCTTTTTTTGCTTTTGTATCTGATCACAAATTGTTGGTTCATACTAGAACGTCCCCAGACTCCATTGTTGGACTTTTTTGCTGTCTACATTCACTACTCTAGTGATTGCATCTCTTTAAAGTCCCATGCCTTCATATAGCATCTGTATGCTAAACTTCCCACATGTCCAGTCAAAACCACTTATTTGTATTCTAAATTTTTATTTTCTACTGCCCACTTGACATCTGTGCTTGGAAATGTAGCAGTTATCTTCAGCTTAACATGTCTAAAACTGAACTCCTGATCTTTCCCACCAAACCAAGTTATTGATGGTGACTCCATTCTTTTACTTGAATTAAAATTTTACATTTGTTCTTCTGCTACTCTTCCTCCTATGTCCAACATCAAATCTTAGACAAAATCGTCCCAGTGCCTCTACCTTCAAAATATGTCCAGAATCTGATTATTTTCCATGTCTCCATTGCTGTCGTCCTGGTTCATCTCTTGCCTGACTTACTGCCTTTCTCCTTTCAGTCTGTTCTCAGCATGGCAACTGAAGAGATCCTGTTTAAAGAAGATAACTCCATAAGGGCGAAGCTTTTTGTTTGTTTTGCTCACTGTAGCTCATAGAATAACATGCTCATACAGTCATAAATACTTGTTGAATGAAAGATAGTATTGATTTTTTTCTGTGTAGTCTGTTGCTACCACCAGTTGTCATACTCCAAAGTTGTACCTCTAGCTATATGTGGCTATTTATATTTAAATTGATTTAAAATAAATACGTTAAAAATTCAGTTTCTCATTAACACTAGCAAGATTTCAAGTGCTCGATAGTCATGTGTGTCTAGTGGCTACCATATTGGACAGTGCTGATAGAGAACATTTTTATCATTTTAGAGAGTTCTGTTGGACAATCTGTTCTATGTTTTATAAGAGCAATTAATCTTGCTGCAATCTCTCTAACCTTTAGGTTGAATTGTATACTGCTGTCAGCTTCATCTTCCTAAATTATTACTTTGATCATGAAAGATGAATGTAGTCTTAGAGCACAGTGAGAGCATTGAGAGTGAGATAGAATTTGCTTTAAATCCCAGATCTTGTATTTGACAATTAAAATTTCTTAGTAAATTTCTTAATGTAAATTTCAGTTTCCTTAAATATAAAATGGGGCTAATATATTTTTTTAAAGATTTTAGTTATTTATTTGTCAGAGAGAGAGAGAGAGCACAAGCTGGGGGAACGGCAGGCAGAGGGAGAAGCAGCCTCCCTGCTGAGCAGGGAGCCTGATGCACGACTCTATCCCAGGACCCTGGGATCATGATCTGAGCTGAAGGCAGATGCTTAACCGACTGAGCTACCCAGGTGCTCCAAAATGGGGATAACATTATCTTCTTTGCAGAGTTGGTTCTTTCACATCGTTTATAGATTCCTGAAAAAACCTTGTGCTCTGCAAAATCATGGACTAAAAACAACAGGGCATCTGGGAATACCAGTTGGATCAGACCATTCAAAACTCATGTAGCTTTGTAATCAAAACACTAAAAATAAAAGTCCAAGCACAATTTTTAAAAGTCATGTTAACTTTTAAGCAATAAAAGTAGTAAATGTGGGATTTAAAAATAAAATGAAGGTATCTAGATGGAAGGAGTATGTCTAGATGGAAAGGAGGATAAGTCTACACAGTTACGGTGTCAAGGGAAATATTCACACAACCAGGAAGAACCCATGCAAGAAATACTTCTAAGATGGAGTTTTTTTTTGGCCAAAGTGAGCCAAAAGGAAGAACATGGGATGAATGAGCATCATATTTAGTTCTGTATTTCTCTAGCTTTCTGCATCCAACTGTGTTAATGTTCTTTGCTTTCAGCTGCTTTTATTGGTAGATAGAGTGGACACTGTTGATGCTCCCACAGCCTCTTTAGTTCAGCTGGTTTACACATCGCCAGTGAATGTTGGCTGCTAACAACTCACAGCTGCCCCATGTTCCGGAGAATTGGCCTTAGACAAACAGAAAACAATCTCACCCACTTCCCACTGGCAGTCTTCAGTCATGACTGGCTAACATTGGACCCTTGCTTCAAAGTCAGAGCAGCTCTGGTACAATTCACAGGCCAGTGGAATCAAGCTGACATCACATTCTTACTTAGTTTCTTCTCGTGCCCTGTTCTAATTCCTTTCTCTTGAGACCACTCCTTCAGTCGTTTGTGTGCACTCAAATCTTTCTCCTGCTGCATTCCTTGGGAACCTAACTTCAGATAATACTGCAAAATGTGAACATGTTGGGAAAAATCACATATGAACCAATACTTCTGAGTTATTTCTGAGACAAATGTTGTAGCAGAACACTTTGTACAGTACTAGCAGAGGTCCTGGCACATAGTAAAAGTCAATAGCAGCCATGATGAACATGCTGAAGATAATGGTGGTGGGGCAAATACCAGTTCCTGCCCAGAAATGTTCAGGTTCTTTCCATTACAAGCCTCATGATGTTTTAGATATACACAACTTGGGTCAAACTTACTGTTTAGTTCCCTACCGCTGCCCCCCCATTGAACTGCGGTTTTTCTAGCAACTTTGAATTCCTTCTACTTTTCTCTCCATCAGTCAAATATCTATTGCTTCCTAAGATTCGTTTGAGTTCTATCACTTCTAATACACTTTTTCTAAGTATGTCAAATCATTGAGCTGTTTCTTTCCTCCAAACTGTCGTGTTTTTATTCTCAGGCATCTCTTGTATCTCAGCCCTGTCAATCACTATAAGAAAAACAGTTTACATAGGTACTTCAGATGGTATTCCGAATACTTTCTAATATTGTTTATCTCTTAAAGAAATAACCACAGGGGCACCTGGGTGGCTCAGTTGGTTAAGCATCTGCCTTCGGCTCAGGTCGTGATCTCAGGGTCCCGGGATCGAGTCCCACATGGAGCTCCCTGCTCAATGGGGAGGCTGCTTCTCCCTCTTCCTGCTGCTTCCCCTGCTGTGCTCTCTCTCTGTCAAATAAATAAAATCTTTAAAAAAAAAAAAGAAATAACCATAGACTTTTAGGAATTTTTGTGAAGTTCATAATTCTGAATATTTATAATTGTTGCAAAGTAATTAAAGCTCTTCTAGTTTATTGAAGAGATGAAAATGTTTTTAGAGTAAACTTGCCTCTTTTAGTAAAGATAACTAACTGTATATAAAAGTTTTAGCTTAGGGGCGCCTGGGTGGCTCAGTCATTAGTGTCTGCCTTCGGCTCAGGTCGTCATCTCAGGGTCCTGGGATCGAGCCCCGCGTCAGGCTCCCTGCTCCGCGGGAAGCCTGCTTCTCCCTCTCCCACTCCCCCTGCTTGTGTTCCCTCTCTCGCTGTCTCTCTCTCTGTCAAATAAATAAATAAAAATCTTAAAAAAAAAAAAAGTTTTAGCCTAACTAGCACAGTGCCTTGGACATAGTAGCTATCTAAATATTTGTCATTCATTTTTAATTTAAGTGTTCACAAAATATTATTTTATGATGGTATTATGTTTTACTCATTATGCTTTACATTTAATATGTTCAGAGGCTTTCAATTTCGCTAACATTTAGTTTTTTCACTGAAGTACAAAATGCCAAAGGACTTAGTGAGTAGATGACTGCACTCTTCATCTTTGCACCTCTAGATTATCGACACGATGGTCGAGATCTTCAAAGCTCAACCTTATCAGTGCCGGAACAAGTAATGTCATCAAACCATTGTTCACCATCAGGATCTCCTCACCGAGTAGATGTTATAGGAAGGACTAGATCATGGTCACCCAGTGTCCCTCCTCCACAAAGGTAGGATACCATACACGTTTTATTTGTAGGATGCTATTAAAAGCCCATTTATCACAAAGAATTCAATAATTTCTAAAGGTAATAAATTCTTGTGGGAGAAAGTGACTTAAGAAAAAACAGATATGTTCTTCAACAACCTAAATATTGAGAGTAATATGAAATATGGACTACTTTGTAACTTCGGTTGATGTATGTTTCTTTTATGTGAGAGTTCAAAATCATAAAGAAGACCCAGCTTTCAGATATGCTGAACTAAGCATATCTAGTTAGAGCCAACGAACTATACTCTTGAATGGTATAGGTATTGATAATTTAAGAAATAGGAGAAAATAAACATCTGATGGGGTTTTAAAGTTAGGAGAAATCATGCAAAGAATAAAAAAAAAAGCACAGGCAGAGGGAAGAGTGACTCAGAAAATCTACAGCTCTAAGTCTTAATGCCTCGTAGAAAACTCTCATCAATCCAGTTAAGTACAGAAAGCTTACAGGAGTAAGAGCCATGGAAATAATATATTTACGAACAAGAAATATTTATAGAATTCACATTTTATATACTTGCAAAGTTTAAGAAAATTTGAACTCTTAGAATGATAGTTTTATAATGCCTATTTTGAATGAATAATTGATTTATTTTTAGATTTAGACTTTTTCCTTATGATTTTAATTTTATACATGGTACTGGGCTTTCTAAGAGAACTTAAGATTTGTTATATTTATGAATTTATTTAGTGTATAAAGATGTAAGTACTAGAAAGTGTTTACTTAATTTAGACAATTAAAGTAATTAAAAAATATATTAAGTTTATAAAAATTTAAAATGATTGATTAACTAAGTTTGTAAATGGGACTAAAATTATTAAAAGTCTTCTGAAAAGTAATTGTTCAAATATGGTAGACCTATCAATAGAATAATATTTTTAATCTGAAATTTAAATTTAAGAAAGAACTAGATTTTGGATTTTAACTTTAATAAATTAAGCCATTTCTTATTTTTAAAAAAAGGACATTGAACATTATATCAAAAACCAATGATGTACTATAGCTTGGCTAATTGAATTTAAATAAAAAAATTAAAAAAAAAAAGGATGCTCGACTTTTACCAGGGAAAGAATATTGGAACACACCTAAAAAAAATAGGCAAAGTTTTAGAATAGATTCAGCTGTGCCTAACAGAAAACAATAGCAAAAGCCATGTAGAGGCTTATTCTATCATGAAAAAGAAGTGTGTAAGTTGTCAGTCCAGGCCAAGAATGGTAGCTTAAAATAAATCATCATTGATCATTTATAAAGACTTCAATTTAGATTTTAAAAAACAGATCATAATCATGTTCCTAAAACAAGATACACCAATATTATCTATAAGCAACATGCTAAACTCATTTTCTCCACACAAATTTATTCCTCCTCCTGTATTGCGTATAAAAATCACTTTTGGAAACCTGGGTGTCATCCATTAATAATTTTGATAATCCTTATCTCTACCCCCACTGATACCATGTTTATGTTTATCTCTGTTATAGCAGCAATCCCCAACTTCACTGTCAGCCTCCAGTTGAAATGTATCCCATTAGCCCGAGATGCAATTAGTTAAAACAAAAAACTTGGGACTTGGCATTACACTGATTTTTATCTTTTTCTACGTTCTTTATTAATAAACCTCCTTTTTAGGGGTGCCTGGGTGGCTCAGTTGGTTAAGCGACTGCCTTCGGCTCAGGACATGATCCTGGAGTCCCCGGATCGAGTCCCACATCGGGCTCCCTGCTCGGCAGGGAGTCTGCTTCTCCCTCTGACCCTCCTCCCTCTCATGCTCTCTGTCTCTCATTCTCTCTCTCGCAAATAAATAAATAAAATCTTTAAAAAAAAAAATAAACCTCCTTTTTAGTGTAGTGCATGATTATGGTTTATTAAAATATTTAATGGATTTTGCTATTGCAGTCGGAATGTGGAACAGGGGCTTCGAGGGACACGCTCTACTGCTGGACATTATAATACAATTAGCCGAATGGATAGACATCGTGTCATGGATGACCGTTACTCTCCAGATAGAGACAGGTAAATAGGATTAAATACTATTAGACCTTATTATAATCGCTGCCTTCAGGACGAAGGTATTACCATAAAATATTTTCATCCAGAACTTGGATATTTGTTAATCTTAGCTTCTAACACCATTTCCTTTACAATGCCTACATTCGTTCTTATGACCACCGTGTAAAAAAATAAAACAAACAAGAACAACCTTTTCTTTGGTTTAAAAAAAATCATCTTTTGCAGTTTTGGTCCTTTGTTAAATCGAACAGTTAAGCTAGTGAGTCTGCACATGAGGTTATAAGGATAATTATAACAAAATAGACATTTTATTATTTTCATTTATCATAACCAATCATTACATATAAATATACTTCGTGAGACAGTAGATTTAAGGTCTTTTATATTCATCAGGGAAACCAGTGTGACTTTATATATAAAAGTATTGACACAAGTCTGGTTTGTTTAGGAAACAGACACAAAAACTGATTCATGAAGAGGTTTTTCCTCATGGCTTTCAGTAAACCTTTTAAGCATCTTAAAGAATTATGCTTATTGGTTTCTGTATTTGGAAGAATTCTCCAAGTTTGCTCCATTAAATGTGACATACTTGGAAATAACATATGTTTCAATGCATTAATCACACTAATTACTACTAATTTGTTTTTAAGTTAAATTAATTAACCCTTGAATTCATGGTTTAGTTCTATATAAAATGAAAAATGCTATGGTATTTCCCCCACACTGTCAAATAGGTTTGAGATAAGGATTAGCAAAGAAAGCTATTATGATAAAGTATTTTGATATGACAAAGAATATTATGATAAAGTAACAAGGGAATGCAGAAGTCTTTTTGTATGAGACCTAAACCAATTTTAATAAGAACATCTTAAATCAACTGACTTGAGAAGTTCCCAATGTTCATCATTGTCAATATTTATAAACTTAATTGTTTTCATCTACATCTAAGGTTATACTCAATTCAGGCTTATAATTTCATTGTGTTAAGTAAACTTTTCCAAAAGAAAAGGTAGGGAACATCTATCCTAATCTTCAATAGTGTCAAACAAGTATTAGCTTTTGTATCTGAGATCTAAGAAGAAATAGAAGTTATTAAATTAGTATCTTTATTAATTGTTAAATAAAAGTTAATGTGGTATTTTTTTTTTATTTGCTTAACTTTTTCATAGTGATCTGTGTCTTTAGTGGTAATTATAGGTGTGGTACCTAAAGAAATTGTATCACATCAAGTATGATACTAGTGAAAGAAAAATAAGTGTATGGGCACGATCAGGAGTTGGAAGAAGTCATATTAGGGTGGGTGAATGAGTACTTTCATTAAACATTATAGAATTCTAATAAGTTTGATCATCTCTGGAAATTTTATTTATACAGCGATTCATAAACTCCTTGTTCTTTGAAAGTTCCTTAAGGCAATGATGAAAGAAAAAAGTCTGAAATGACTTTAAATCCTTCAAGTTTGCATAAAATTTTTCTTTAGATGAGAAATGGACTTGATATTTTCTCTGAAGACAATATGGTCTAAATCTTGCAGAGAGGAATAGAATAAAATTAACCTCTACAATTATATTCACAAACAAAAATAGTCACTATCATGCAAACACATAATAATTTATGAGTATTTTAAGACAAATGGCCATAGCATTAATGATAAAAGACTTGCTGTTAAATCCTTGGTATATAGCTATTATGGTCATAACTGCTATGTCATTATATTTTTTCTTGTTTATAACTTTATGAATCATTTAGTTTGACAAAAATGTTCAAGTAATTCAGAAGTTTTGGAGGAATTTGACCCCTGGGCTTCATCACTTTTTTAGAGTGCTGTAGATTACCAAATCATAATTACTGGGGTTTCATCACTTTTTTAGAGTGCTGTAGATTATCAAATCATAGTTACCCCTAATTGTGAGCTGTTTTACATTTTTTTTAAATAACTAAAATAGAATTTCTTTTAAATAAGACTAAAAAGCTATTTCTAATATTATATTTAAGTTATCTGTGTAAACATTACTTATTAACATGAGGGATCAAAAATCAAGAAGTACAATAGTATCCATGTTAGGTAGTCTATCAAATTATTAAACAATGGGTTCTTAATTTCTGTTTTATGCTTTATATTCTAAATATTCTAAAAGATTTTCAATAATAGAATGCATGTGAAGACATCGTAATTTTTATGCACTCTTTAGAAGGTAATAATTCTCTAGAACTCTTACAGTGAATTTTCATGATAGTGTTTTATATAGTCAATCAATAATACTGTTGATTAAAAAGCCTAAAAGAGAATTTCCTTTGAGATAGTAAGTAAAATGTAGGCATTTTGAGTGGTACATTAACTATTCTTGTCAGTAATAAATGGTGCACTGGACCAGAAGAGTATTTTATTGAATATACTCTTTTTTTGTAGGATTTGGAACCAAATGGCATTGCATTTTAATGTAGGCTTTTTATTACTTGCTAGCTATGTTTCTTTGGGAAAATTAATGTCTTTGACACTTGATTTCCTTATCTATAAAATTAGAACATTAGTACCAACTTTGTAAGGTTGTGGGGTAGATTAAATGACACAGCACCTCCAGTTGCATAGTACATACTCAGAAAATGTGCCTTGCTCTTAACATTTTAAAAGATCTTGTGGCTTACAAATAATTGACATCTTAATGTGCTTATTAACTAAGCAGAAAAAAAAGAAATCAGTTAATACAGGTATTTTTTTTTAAAAAGCTTTGTAGAGAGTGTAGAACATGAGTTGGACCTTGAAAAATGGACATGCTTATTTAGGCAAGAACAAAAGCATAAGTACAGAGGCAAAACATACATATATATCAGAAAGACTCAGTATGAAGGATGAAGGACTTGGGACATATTGGAAAGTTGTGCATGAAGATAATAGCTTTTACATTGGCTACATTGGGTGAGAAATGATGCTCTTTGGCATTAATTTATAGGGCCTGGCTAAACCTAAGTGGTATAAGAAGGAGATAATAGTATTCGGATTCCCTTTTTCTTGCAGGTAATGTTAAAAAGAATTATATATCAAAATTTGACTGGATCTTTATATCTCTGCACATCTCACTCTGTTATCATTAGTCAAAATCCTATTCTGTTTTGAAAAGAAAATAGGTTCTTTGTAAGTAATTCAGAAACTTGGATGCAGGGCTGTTAGCTAAAATGAAGAACTATAACAGACATCGTTCATCTTCCTCTCCATCCCCCATACTTTTTAGATCATTGTTTCTCTGGTAAATCATGGTAACTATGACTAGGAACATAATTTTCCTGGGCAACCTATGTGGCTTTAGTATTAGAAACCATTTCAAGAGCTTATTTGTTTACATGAGTTAATTTACTATTAGAATAAATATAGAGTACTAGATAATATTTCTGTAACATGTCAGAGATATCATGCAGTACTCATTTTTATGTCTATCCTGGAGACCAAAATATATTGGGTACCTTTAATTCTATGCAGTATACCTTTAGCATAATAAGAAAAAAAAATACAATTAACACTGGCCTAAGATACATCACTTCATAGGCTTTTTTTGTGTGTGCATTCAATTAATACATTTATATTCTAAAAAGAAAAATGTCATATTATATGGATCTCTAGGATACCTCACCCACTTATGCCATTTCTTACTCTTTATCAGCCAACCAGCTGTAAGGAAGTGTCAAAATTACCCATAACTATTTATAGTCTTCTTGGTCCTTTTAGTTATCAACAATGAGGGGAACACATCTCTGCAAGTTTGAAAATACAGAGAAAGTAAATTAAAAGCAATACATTTTATTACATTTCAGGAATATATTTTAACATAGTTAAATCATACTGAGAATGTTTTAGGAACTATAAAGTAGCAAAACATTAACAATATTGAAGACAGAACAGAAAGTTTTGCATTAAGTTGAGATTGTTGGAAACTTTGCTTTCAAAAACTATAGGTTATTTAAGGATGAGATATTTTATTTCTTCTTTTTGCAGTCCTTTTTGTCTGGTGGTTTCTAAAAGGAGACATTCAGATTCATCTGATATAATGGAAGGATAATTCATTATAAATACAGTTTTGTTTTGTCTTTAAAGATTACATTCCTTAATAAGAATCAGAGTGTCTAGAAATTAGATCAATAATCCAGTTCAATTATTTGAATAGTGAAATTTGTCATTATGATTTTTGAATCTATAACTTCTTTTTTTCACTCTTTAAAATTTAGTAATTCTTTTAGTTTTCTATTTTTTTTACAATGAATTACTGCTCTGCTCAATTTTAAAAAATTTTCAAAGAGATTGGATAAATTGCAATTTTTAACATAATTTTTTAACTCATTATGTATATTGGCGACAGTATTGTTTACTTAGGTTTTATAATTCCATTAATTTTGGAAGAAATGTAAGAATGATTTAACTGAGAAGAGTAAATGAAATGTTTTTAAGTTGTATCAAGTGGATGTGGGAAAGGACCTTGAATGCATCTCTGGATCTTAGGTGGATTTTACTTCCAAAACAATGTGGATTTAAATTTATGTAATATTCAGTGATGCATTTTTATAGTCATCACAGAATCTCAAGGGGTATCATGACCAGATTGGGTTAAGAGGTACAACATGACTATAGAAAACTATGCATTTCGGGTTCTCCAACGAAACAGAGCCAGTAGGATAGATAGATAATAAGGATTTGGCTCACATAATTATAGAAGTCAAAAGGCCTACCATCTACCCTATGCAAGCTAGAGACCCATGAAATGATGGTATAATTCGGTCCAAGTCTGAAGGCTTGAAAACCAGGGTGGCCAATGTTATAAATCCCAGTCTGAGGAACAGAGAGGTAAGAGATGTCCAGCTCTAAAGTTGAGGCAGGAAAAAGGGAGGAATTCATCCTTTTTCCTATTTTGTTCTGTTGAGCCTCTCACCAGATTCTATGATGCTCACCCAGATTGAGGAGGGCAGTCTACTGAGTCCACTGATTCAAACGCTAATATCATCCTGAAGCACCCTCACAGACACCCCCCAGAAATAACATTAAATGTGAGCACCCCTTGGGCCAGTTAAATTAACAGTCACAAAAAGGGAAATAAAACAAATTGATGTTTGATAAAGGTGATCCTTGCTTAATGTTTTCTTTGGCTTTATAGAGACAAAATTAACTATAAGGCTCCTCAAGGAGAATATTAGAAATTGATGATGATATATATGTTCTATGAATTTGAAAATTTTAATAAGTTTTGAAGTTTATATATTTTCATTCCTCAAGTAATTTTCAGAGAAGATCTATTTGTTCTTAATGCAATAAATCCTAACATCACAACTGTTGGGTATTACTTCTACTCTTTGTAGTGCCAGGAATATCTTTTTTGAATACTGTTTTACTTTCTTTTTATACCACATAGGTTTGTAATGTTCTGTTTACATTTCTAGAAGTTTCTGTGATTATGTGAACCACTGCTCTCTTTGGAGGGTAGGCTCACCATGAAAATAGTATAATTCTGTTTTTACTTTTTAGTTCAATCCAAAATATATTTATTGAGTGTGTCACCCAATTGTGCACAAAGATTTAAAATAGACATTATCCTGGCCTAAATAAACAGATGATCCAACTAATTATACCAACTCATATATACCAACTAATATATAATATACCAACTAATTATAAAACATAGAAGCCTGTCAGGCCAAGCATAATATTATTGGAATAGATTGGAGAGAAAATTACTTGCTTGAGTATTGGAAAAAAAGCTTTAAAGGGAAGTTGGACTTTAAAGATTGAGTAGAATTTTCAAAGGCAATAAAGTGGAGACAGAGGGAGGATAATGGCATTCTTGGCAGAGTGATAAGCATGAACAGTCTCAGAGTCAGGAAAGTATGGGATATATTTAGAGAATCTTAGGTGGTCTGGCATACCTACATAAAAAGTTATAGTATGAGGGGTGGGAAGTGATAGGCTATACTGAAGATTGAAGTAGTTTAGAACTTAATTTGCATGCTGTTTTAAGGAATATGACTTGTTTTTGATATGTGAAACCAGAGAAGGATTTTAAGCAAAGTACCTACATGATCAAAAGCATAATTTATAATTATCTTGCTTGTAGACAGAGTGGAGAATGGATTGGATCAGGAAAGGGTTGGGGTTGAAGGAGGGGAGCAATAGATTATTTTAGTAGACATGGTAAGCCTGATTGAAGGTAGTAGCAGGAGAAAAGGAATAGAAGAGATAAATCTGAGTTATTTAAGCATTAGAACTAGCTGGGTTTATAAATCAATTAAATGTGGAAAATAAGGAAAATGGAGGAGTTAAATTATGAAATTTTTTAAAACTTGGCTTGTTAAGTAAATATTTAAATCTTTAGTTAAAACTGGGATTACACAAAGAGGAACAGCTGAAGTATTATATTAAGTTTCAAAGGAGGGTTAAAGAATTATATTTGAAACTAGAGGGTCTTTTAGAGATCATGGAGGTAACTGAGGGACTGCGGTTGTAGGTAAGGACCACGCCAAATGGATAGGGACTAGTCTTCTCACTCCCTCTTTAGCCAGAGTCATTCGGATTTTATTGCCTTCCTAATGATGGGTTTTACATAAAAATCTGCTCCAAAAAAACATTGGTCTTCTGATCAGAAAGAAAGTTTGAAAACTACTGCTCCAGCCCCCTCATTTCACAAATGCAGCACCAGGCGTCCAAATAGGCGAATGTCTTGCTCGAACCTTAAAATTAACATGCGTTTTTCTGAAGTGTCTACACGACAGTTAGGCAGCTGTGTGGGGAGCCCAGGAAGCAGCTGGAAATGTGCTGTGAAACCCAAAGAAAAATGAAAGCTAAACAAAGTGAGAGTTCACACTATAAAGGAAATGATATAATCCAGAAAGAATGTGTTGGAATATAAAGAAATTTGAAGAACCCATCTTGGGAAACCACTGCCTCTATGGAATAAAGAGAAGGAGAATCCAGTAAATGAAATGGGTAAAGAAGCAGTTAGATAGGTGGGAAACCAGGCCGTATGTGTAAATGTTAAGAGCCTGAATTTTGGATTAAGGAAGCCCTGAGTTTGAAACCCAGTCCAGCTACTTCCTATATGGCACTCACAGCCTCAGTTTTTCTCTCTGTGGCAATACTAGAACCTACCTCAAAGAGTTGTTATGAGAAATAAATGAGATAAAGTAGACAAACCGTTAATGGAGTACTTGTCACCTCATTAAGTGTTACATAAATACTAATTTTTAATAGCCTGAGAGAATCATGTTTCAAAAACCAAGAGAAGAGAGAGTGTCAAGAAACATAGGTTGAAAATCACTGTGTAACACCATAGATAAGGGTAATATAAGGAAGATCAAGAAGTTAAAGGATTTTTCAGGATTTCACAGGTAGCGTTCATAGGCTAGCTTCCAGAGAAGGGTGGAGACTGAAAGTCCCGTTACATACAGTGAACTTAAAGCTTGGATGAGAAGTGAGGAAGTGGTGGCAAAAATTGTAGGTATGGCTAAGATGTTGTATGATGAATGTCAGAGACATGCAAAGGCTTGAGAGGAAGGCGAGGTTAGTGAAGGGTTTATTTTTAGGATTAAGTGCAGTTCAGGAATGGAAGGCATGAGACAATGAATGAAGGAAGGAAGAGCGAATGTGGGAAATCAGGATTACAAGTAGAGGAGTTTCTCCCTTTGGTGCAAAAGAAAATGACAAGTGAAGATATTCTATAGGTACTCTGCATTTAGTGGTAGAAATATGACAGAGAGGATTCAAAGTTGGTTTCCTTTTTTAAAAAACTGAAACATAATGATCATCTGCCAAAATTAGGTGTGTTGGCATGAGAGGTTTTACAAAAATGGGAAAGTTTAAATCAGCGCTGTGGAAAGAAGAGGAGCCCCTAGAGATGGGTGAAAACATCAGTGTGCTGCTTCGATGGTTTAGGATAGTCATGAGGCGTGAAGTGTAGCACAGCCCACAGTAGGTAATAAACATATACTAAACATAGTGAATGGAAAAATGGATAGCATCCAATGAACCTAATAAATGAAAGTAATAACCAAATAATAATTCAAGTCAGCTTATTCCTTACTAAATGGAATTTTTAAGTCCTTTTAGCTACTTTTACTTATTCATGATTGAAGAAGAAATAATTACCTTATAAAATCTCCTATGTATTAGGAATTACCTCTTTAATTATTTTCTTCTTAAACTTCCTTGTTATTTTATTAGTTTTCTCTTTCCATCTTTCCTCCTCAAAAAGGGAAAGCAACTATAGATTGTATAACATTTTATAGATGGTGCTAGAGATGTTTGAGTGATAATTGATAAGATTTTATTTCGAAATATAATTTGTTTAAATCTTGATTTGCTATGTTTTTGTTGTGTTTATTTTGGAATACTTAGACTATTTTAACCTTTAGCACGGCCATATTACAATGGACATTGGGAGGAAAGAGCAAGCTTTCTAGTAACAGTTTTCATTTGCTTTGCTTACTATCTGCTTATCTTTTTTGAATTTCACTTTTTAAAAGTAAACTATACCTTTTCATTTCTTTCCTGAGTCTCATTTATATTCTTGTTTCTGCCATGCTTGCAGTCATTTTCTTACTCTACCTCGCTCCAGATACAGTCAGAACACTGAACATCATCACAGGGATGGCAGGTATATTTTTCTTACAATTGAGTCTGTTCATAGAATTGCATGTGCCTGTCTAATGATATGGTATAATTCACTTCTATCTCTGCTTTTTATATATATACATATATGATTATTCATGAAATATAGAAATATTATCCTTACTATATAAGATAATAGAAAATAAAGCATATGTAAATACTTTAATTGTAGTAAGATGTCAAAAACAAAGCTTCCCTTTAATGAGCTAGTATCATCTCCTTGATGACTCTAAAAATTTAGGTCACCAGGCTTTACAGTTAACCCTTGATTACCTAGAAGGATAGAATAACAGTATTTTTAAAAATTAATTGCATTTGACTGACCACCTTCATAATTATATATTTAGACAGCACTGGTTTTTACATATCTTAATCATCTGCTCCCCCACCTCCCATCCCCCACAGTTGAGGAACCAGTCCTAGAAATGCTTAGGTTGAGCTGATCAGTTTATAGTTTACCTTGTCAGAGGTGGCTGTGATCTACTCAACTGGTCATAGATAATCCTGGATCCATGGAGAATATTGGGTCTGTGGGAAAATCCTTGTTTCATTTCTACTTTACCTCCATTCTCCTTATATTGAAGGGAAATATCAATTATTTGGCATTTAACCGAAAGAAGGATAAACTAGAAAGAGAAGGGAAAGAAGGTCTCTAAAAGCTTACAGTTTCTCCAGGCTTTATGTAGCTTTAGGGATTTGAGCCTGTGACATTTCAAGCCCCTGAAGGCAGAGAAGAGAGTAGCAGTGATAATGTGGTAGTGGGTTCAGCTAGTATAGATTAAGAATTATGTGCTCTACTCAGTTGTTTCAAAGTGATCTGGGTTGTGTGTGACCACTTTTGTACTATTAATTTAATTCATTAAGTTATTCATAAAAGGGTTAGAAAAAAAATTGAAACTAATGAATAAATTCCTAAGGATTGAATTCATGTAGATAAATGTAGAAGGAAACATAAGAGATAATATCAACAATAGATTCCTAACGATGGAAGTTTTGTGATGTCTTTCAGTAAATATAATTGAAATGTAGCGCCTTCCAGTTTATTATATGATAGTGATTATTGCTGTATTTTATTGTCTTTTGTATTTTCTCAGTCTCTTTTCTGTTATTTTGCTTTAATACTAAATAATTCCTTTTTGTTATGTCTTTTTATTTTTACTTTTGCTGTATATTATATTCTATTTGGGTTTGCAGTGATTATACAATTACCTTACAAAAATGTAAGGAAGTAGTTCTATAACTGTCCCTATAATTGAACAAGACCTTTCTTAAAGTGGGTGACATGAATGAGACATTACTGATTATAGGCTTATTCTAATTACACTGGTATCTTCATTTAAATTCAAGTTAAAATCTTGCACCACATTAGTTTTTTTTATATTCTACTTATCTTAGTTATCAATAAGTAAATTGCTTCATATTATTTATCTTTTCAATGAGCCAACATGTGTAGAATCAGTTCTTGATCAGCTCTAGGTTGGTTATCAATTTCATGTACTTATTCAAATTCTGAACCTAGCCTAGCTGGCCTATTTTGCATGATATATTTCTGAATTGCCTTTTATGCCATGATTTATTTTGTGGTCAGGAAACACAGTATCATTAATGTTTATATTAAGGTAAAACACAGTTAAGAAAATCAGCTTTAGAAAACAAGTAATCAAGTAGGGATTTGAGCCATCCTGTGACATTTCGAGGCCCTGCAGGCAGAGAAGAGTGTAGCAAAAAATCTTCTTACTGAAGATTTGCCATCACTTAGACGATTCCAGTATGTGAGACTAATGTACACCTACTCCTAGACAAATTTGGGTGGATTTTGTAAGAATGAAATTCTTTAGTTGCTTTTAAAAATACTATCTTTCATCATTATCAGTTTAATACACAAAAAAGAGTATGTGCACCTTTCAAAGCATAATGATAAAATGAAATCCATGAATCTGCTACCCAAACTGAAAACCAGAATTTATGGTTTTACTTATTGCATCTATCTGTAGAATCTTTGCCTATTGAATCCATATGCCTCTTTCATAGAAGTAGTAAACACTATACTGATTTTCAGTTTAACATCCCCTTTCTTTGCTTTTTTTAAAGTGACTTTGGTCATTTGTTTTCACTCTGCTAACTTTTTTGAGTTACTCAGTCTTTCTGCCCTCACCTCAATCCACTATGAGATTCTAGGATTATTGAGGATATAATCAGGTATCCATTCTCCTATGTTTGTTACCATAATTCTCTAGGCTTCTTGTCTTTAATTTAACCCCTGTACCTTTGTATGTAATGTAACTGAGCACAGCCCTTCCATGTTGAGATCATCTGGTGACCTCTTGGTTATTCCATTTTATTCACTGAAGATTTTAGCACCTGGCTTTAGTCTAACTTTTAATAATTCCTGCCATCAACCAGCGTGATGTTAGCGTTCACCTGAATGATCTGTGCAGCAGCCACTCACTTCCTTGGCTGTCTCAAATTGGACGTAGTGAACTTTATTCCCAATTTTACTTTAGTCGGTTACTGCCATGGCCATATCTGAATCTTATCATTATTTGAAATTATTACACCTCTAAAGTCTTAATTCAAATACTTCACTCTTGGACCAGAACTACACATGGTTCTTTCTTATTTTCTCACTGAGTTACTTTTACCGCACTAGCTCTTGTATCTCAATAGAGAACTCCACACTCTTGACCCCTTTTCTTATCCCTATTAGTCTCCACTTTACTTACTTACATATCCAGAGGTTGATTCCATTCTTAGGAATATCCTCAATTCCCTTGCTACATTGTTCTTCTTTTACCTATTTGACAGAGTTCACATCTGGACCAATCTCTTTCTTTTGCGGAATTGTTCTGAACTAAATTTTCCAAATTCTCCCCAACTCAACTGAATGCTTAAATGAAAAGTGACCTCTTTATTGAGAGTTGTGAAAGAAAGAAAGGATGGAAAGAGGGAGGGAAAAGAGGAGAGAGGGAGGAAAAAGAAGAAAGAATAAGAAAGAAAAGAAAGTGGCACCAACTCTCTAAGTGTCCAATTTCCCAGCGCAGATTTCAAGGTGACATTTACTGTCATGGTCTGGAAATTCCCTTTCTGGGGGTAAATATGTGTTAAGAGCTCCAAGTGAACTATAGTGTAGCTACACTACACTATATGAAATCTGCATTTTTCTGAATGGAACGAATGTAGTAAATTAAACGTGGCATCCCCAGTCTGTGAAGAATCAGAATCACCAGTCTCTCTACCCCAGCCTTGTAAAATGAAAAATTTTGAGAGCTATCTCTTTGGAACAGATGAGTAGCGGCTTAAATAATGGCTGCTAAACTTTTTATATTATTTCAGGAGACAAATATTAACTAATATTAGGAATCGAAACTCTTTTTCTTCTGACCAGGTTATGCTAACCAGTACAAATCTATCTGAGTCATTGTGTATTTTTAAACACAGTCAACATTTAAACAAACATATTTAGAATAGGTATCATGTTACCTTTTATTAATATCCCTTTATTAAGATATAGCCTTTATTTTAATAAATAATATCTTTTATATTTAAAAAATTTATCCCCATACCTTACTTTTTTCCCCCTAGTATTTATCTCTACTTAAGTCATTGTTTGGCAGCATGATGGTGGACTTTCATGTAAAGAGGTCATGGAGAAGACAACTAGGCTATATCTTAAAAGAGGAATTGGAATTATTTAGATTTATATAGACATAAGGTAGGATGTCAGTGGAATTCTAAAGAAATGTATGAGCAAACTCACTAAAGTAATAAATACCATGTTTTAGTGCTATTGGAGCATTATCCACAAGGCAGGGAATAGCAAGAAATGAATCTGGGATGATAGAGATGGTCCCAATTATGGATAACCTTGTATGTTCTGTTAAGGAATTTAGATCTAAGACTGTAAGTGATAGAGGTACTTCAAAGAGTTTTAATTAGGAGATGGTTAATATATTTATTCATTCTAGAATAATTACTCTAGAGACTATGTGGATGGTTGATTTGAGAGAAAAGGGTGTGTGAAAGAAAAGCATGCATAAAGATATTTGCTGCCTTGGTCTTGGGCAGCAGAGAACTCTTTGAGGGCCTGAACTAAGTAAGGTAATGGATGGAGAGATAGAAAGAAGACAGGAGATTTAATCAATTGAAATCAGTAATACATGGTAAATAATAGCATTTGGATGTTGATGGGGAGCAGAGTCAAGAAACATAATGAGTCTTATAGTTTGGGTAACTGGATGCATGTGGTACCTTAACAAAGGTGAATGGGGGGAGGAATGTTCAGAGAGAAATTAGTTTAGGCGAGAGACAAGTTCAGTTCTGGAATTACTGAGAGAGTTAAGGGGAAACCTCCAGCAGGGAGTAAAATCAATAATTTTAAAACTTAAAGTAGTTTGAGCATGTAGAGTAATTTGAGAGTAAATTCACTAATAACAGTAAGTAGCTACAAAAATGAAAGTGAAATCAATCAGAGAAACAACCCATGAAATGAAGGCCAAGGACTTTTTCTCCACTCTGGGAAACATTAACATTTAAGTGGTAGATAAAGGAAGAGACCTAGAGAAGGAAGAGTGAGAAGAATAGAGCTAACAAAATAGAGTTTAAGGCAGGAAGAAATGATGTCAACAGGAAAAATAATAACTGAAAAATGCCCATTAGATTTGGCAAGTGAGGATTCATCGGTGACTTCTTCATGATTTCAGAAGGGGGTGATTGAAAAAAGCAGATTGCAGTGGCCTGAGGCATACCTGGGAGCTAAAAAAATAGATGCACTATGAGTGTGGAGGAGAAATACTGGATAGGGGTATGTGATATCAAAGTAATTTCTTTCTTTAGAATACAAAATGCATCATGAGTTTGTAGGCTGGAGGAACAGATCCTCTAGGAAAAGTTAGATTGAAAATACAGAAAAGAGAGGATGACTGTTAGGTCTTAGGGCAGGAGATTGGTCTAAACACACAGATGGAGTATGTAAACAGAAAGAAGCTC